TGTCTCTGTCTCTGTCTTCTGGTCTCTCTGTCTCTCTGGTTCTCTGTCTTCTGTCTCTGGTTCTCTGTCTCTGTCTCTTGTCTACTTGCCTCTGGTCTCTGTCTCTGTCTCTGTCTCTGTTCGTGTCTCTTGTCTCTGTTGTCTCTTGTCTCTCTGTCTCTCTGTTCTGTCTTGTCTCTCTTCTCTCTCTTGTCTCTCTCTCTCTCTCTCTCTCTCTTCTCTCTCTCTCTCTCTTCTTCTCTCTCCTCTTCTCTCTCTCTCTCTCTTCTTCTCTCCTCTCTTCTCTTCTCGTCTTCTATCTCTCTCTCTCTTCTCTCTCTCTCTCTCTCTCTCTCTCTCTCTCTCTCTCTCTCTCTCTCTCTCTCTTTTCTTTCGCTCCGATGGTTCCATAGCTGGTCCCCTCTCCGCAAAGCTATTGTCTTGCCTCCTCGGCTTTCTCGTTCCAACTCGCCTTGTGGACGAGTCTGAATGCTCCATTAGTGGCCCATTTGCCTTCTCTGTACCTCTCTCTCTCTGTCTGTCTCTGTCTCTGTCTCTTGTCTCTGTCTCTGTCTATTGTCTCTTGTCTCTGTCTCTGTGTCTCTTGCCTCTGTCCTCTGTCTCTGTCTCTCTGGTCTCTGTCTCTGTTCTCTCTCTCTCTCTTATTGTCTCTCTCTCTCTTCTCTCTCCTCTCTCTCTTCTTCTCTCCTCTTCTCTCTTGTCCTTTCTCTGTCTGTTTCTCTGTCTCTGTCTCTGTCTCTGTCTCGTTCTGTCCTGTCTCTGTCTCTTCCTCTTTCTCTCTGTCCTCTGTCTCTGTCTCTCTTCTCTCTCTTCTCTCTCTCTCTCTCTCTCTCTCTCTCTCTCTCTCTCTCTCTCTCTCTCCTTCTCTCTCTTCTCTCTCTCTCTCTCTCTTCTCTCTCTCTCTCTCTCTTATCTCTTCTCTCTCCTCTCTCTCTCTCTCTCTCTCTCTTCTCTCTCTTTCTCTCTCTCTCTTTTCTTTCGCTCCGATTGGTTCCTAGCTGGGTCCCTCTCGCAAAGCATTGGTTTGCCTCTCGGCTATCGGTCCCTCGCCCCTTTGACGAGTCTTGCCTCCATTAGTGGACCATTTTGCCTCTTGCTCTCTCTCGATCTGTTACCTCTGTCTCTGTCTGTCTCACTTGTCTCTTCTGTCTGTCTCTGTCCTGTCTCTGTCCTTGTCTTCTGTCTCTGTCCTCTCTGTCTCTGTCTCTGTCTGTCTCTGTCTCTGTCTCTGTCTCGTCTCTGTCTCTGTCTCTGTCCTTGTCTCTCTGTCCTCCTCTCTCTCTCTCTGTTCTTCTCTCTCTCTCCTCTCTTCCTCTCTCTCTCCTCTCTCTCTCTCTCTCCTCTTCTCATCTCTCTCTTCTCTCTTCTCTCTTCTCTCTCTCCTCTCTCCTCCCTCCCTCCCTCCTCTCTCTGTCTCTCTCCTCTCTCTCTCTCTCTCTCTCTCTCTCTCTTCTCTTCTCTCTCTCTCTCTCTCTCCTCTCTCTCTCTCTCTCTCTCTCTCCCTCTCTCCCTCCCTCCCTCCCCTCCCTTCCCTCCCTCCCTCCCTTCCCTCCCCTCCCTCCCTCCCCCCGTCACTGGAAGCTACCGCCAGTCTGAGCCCTCCTTGGCGCCGAACAGGGAGCATGAGCGGGCGGGCGTTACTGCGAGATGGAGCTGATTCTTCTGGCGTTTATTTCACCTCTTTGTTGCTGCTTGTGAATGTCCTTTATTAGGTGTGTCTATGTTTCAGCTGTGCGATAGACGTTCAGTTGTTTTAGCCCTCCCGGTGGTCCATTTCGTACTTCATCTTCTGCTGTTGCAAAAGTTTATTTTTTATTTTATTGAACTTTATCTCGAACTTCCTTGGAGAGAATTGTCTTTGGAGTTACCAAGACTGCTTTCGCAAAGCCGTCGCTGTCCTGTCTCTTTCCCGAGTGGCAAACTTGGCTTGGAAACTTTGAAGAATCTGATGCGGTCGCTTAGGATGTCTCTGCATGTAGCGCGGCTTCTCTCTCAGTTGAAATACCTGCTTTTCTCCGACCGTTTTACTCTCGCCTTTGATGTTGCAGCGTCTGTTTCTCTCCCTGCCATCAGTAGTGGGACTTTTGCAATTTTTGCCAGTTTTTATTCTTTCTTTTTTTGCATAGATGATCGTGTCAGTCTGCTGCGAATACTCTCACTTGGTATGCCGACGATTCCGCTGTAGGTGCAGGTTCCTCCTCTAGTTCCGAGCCCTGAGTCTTTGGCTCGCTCCTCACGCGACAGTGAGTTCGGTCCTCCAGAACACACTGCTCCTCCTGCCCTCGGCCTCGTCCTCGCAGAAGGAGCGACACTCGCCCCTTTTCCACGTGCTTTTCAGGAACGAGGACGAATCCGAACATATCCCGGGGGCGCGGACCTCCAGCGATACGACTTCTTTTAAACTCGGAAAATATTTCATCCTGTGCTGGCGCTGTGACGCAAGGGCAGTCTCTCCGGACTCTACAAAAGGACTAATTACCCCGCGCGTGGAGTTTTTTTTTTTTCTCCTGCGTCCGGGAGTCTAAAGGATTGTTCATAATCCACCTGACATCTGCACGCGCCCTTGCTTCGTGTCGGAAGGTGGACTCTCTCTCTCTCTCTTTCTTTCTTCCTGTCTCTCTCTTCTCTTCTCTTTTCTCTTCTCTCTCTCTCCTCTTCTCTCTTCTCTCTTCTCTCTCTCTCTCTTTCTCCTCTCTTCTCTCTCTCTCTCGCTCTCTCTCTCTCTCTCTCTCTCTCTCTCTCTCTCTCTCTCTCTCTCTCTCTCTCTCTCTCTTTCTCTCTTCTCTCTCTCTCTCTCTCTCTCTCTCTCTTCTCTCTCTCTCTCTCTTTCTCTCTCTTCCTTCTCTTCGCTCTCTCTCTCTCTCTCTCTCT